CAACAACTTGATTATCTGCACCTTGCTTGCTTCCAATATTCTCAGTTGATAATTGTGCTACATCATTTCCATCTCTGCTCAATGTATCAGCACTGGGACGTTCCTCTTCAAATTGTTCTTGAACATGTTGATCGCCTACAAAAGCCGCTTCCTTACATGTAGCGTTTACATCTGCGACTTTATCTGATGCATCATCAACAACATTAATATCCGATGGATGTTCGTAACAGTCGTTCCCCCTATCATATTCTTGATGGTTACTCAAATCAAAATTGCCATCGTCCATTCCATTTGATTTGTTGACAATCTTAAACAACTGTTCAAACTTCTCATCGAAATATTCCTAGAAAAAAAATTACTAACAATGATTAATCTGAATAACATCAGCAGAAATAAAAAGACTTCTCTATAAATTAGCTTACCTTCACTTTTACAAAAACCGCATCCACAAAAGCAGATCGCTCCTCCTTTTTAAACTTATCGAAAACTTATTTCACGATTGTGCTTCTTTCTTTTTCTGCATGCCTTTGAACCTCCATAGTTAATCTCTAGAATAGACACACAACAAAAATTCAGATATAGAAAAAAACTTCAGCTCAAAAACATGTTGTACTTTTACAAAATACAGAACCAAAAAACTTCAGATCAAAACTTACAGAACATATTGTGTCGAGTAATTCATTGTCATCAAAGTCACTTATAGAATGGTTAGAACGACTTTGGGTACGAGATAATTCGCCAATAAAAGGAGTTCGATTCGCTTCTTTTGATCGACTCCGACTACGTGGTGATTCACCAATAATAGGAGTTCAATTCGATTCTTTTGATCGACTCAGAGTACGTGGTGATTCACCAGTTGAAGGACCCGCGTTAAGTACCTTTGAACGAATCCGACTATATGGTAATTGACCAATTAAAGGCATTGAATTCAACTCCTCTTCTGTAGGAATTATATCCAATACCCTAAAGCTACGATATTTCTGTTTAATACAAAAAAGTATATTATGNGTGCATTAGCTGTTTTGCGTACTTTAGCTGCATTAAGATCTTTAGGTGCTTTAGGTGCATTAGCTGTTTTGCGTACTTTAGCTGCATTAAGATCTTTAGGTGCTTTAGGTGCCATCTCTTCAAAAAAAGTAAAACAAACAAAAAATAACATCAGGACATTATCAAAAAGATCAGTTAAAACTTCAATCTCTAAGAAGGCTGAAGTTCGACAGTTACAAAACAAAACTTCAGAGCTGAAGTTCGCCAGTTACAAAAACTAAAACTTCAGCTCTGCCAGTTACAAAAACTAAAACTTCAGCTCTAGAGCTAAAGTTCACCAGTAACAAAACACAAAAACTTCAGCTCACCAGTTACAAAACACAAAACATTCAGCCCCATGCTGTAGTTTTTACAAAACACAAATTCAAATCCAAAAATAATGCCAAAACATGAGAAAAAATTTCAGCTCCTATCTAAGGTATCATCACTTTAATAGTATCATCTATTTAACTCTCAAAATTTTTAAAAATTTGGACGTCTAATCACTGAAGAATTTATAGAATTTTCATCAATAAAATAAAACCTCGTTCAAAAAACCTAAAAACACAATCGTAAAAGAAAAAGTAATGCACTTATCAAACTAAACACTAAGAAACTATTTAATCATAAATACATGATTATCAAAACCAAAACCAGAAAAAAAACCCAGAAAATCGTAAAATAAAACCCAGAAAGTTAAAGTAATGTACCTGTGATTAAATCGTAATGTGGGAACAACGACGAATAACAGTTGAAAAATCAAAACAACGACGAAAACCCTTTGATTTCAGAAAAGAACAAATCAAAAAATGCGAATAACAGGAGAGAGAGACAGAGACAGTAAAGGACTAGCGTATACTTGGAGAGAAAGTAGTCTTTTAATGAAGAAGGGTAAAATAGTCTTTTTAAAAGGCTTTTAACAAAAAAATAGGTACGGGTGCAAACGGAAAGACAAAGCGACTACAGGTTAAAAAGGGGCGTCCAAATAGGGCACCCCGTGCAATTTTTACGACATATCGAGTGAAAAAGAATCAGTTATAGCGTTGAGTCCATCACGTCTCTTAAAAACTGGTGCAAGTCAATTTCTTCACCATCTTAGTGGGCATTAATTGGTTCGGGCATGTAATGAGGAGAAGCCCAGATGCTCCAGTGAGGAGGTGTGAGCGGCTGGTTGTGGAGGGCACGAGAAGAGGTAGAGGGCGGCCTAAGAAGTATTGGGGAGAAGTGATCAGGCAGGATATGGCGAGACTTCAGATTTCCGAGGACATGACACTTGATAGAAATTTGTGGAGGTCGAGTATTACAATTGTCGGCTAGGAGCTAGTTGAGTCTTGCGTTACTTTGTTCCATTGTGAGCCTAGTCTGGTAAGGTTTTAATCGAAAATTATTAGGGGCATTGTCGTGTCTTAATATTTTCTCTTTTCGGTGCTAGATCTATTTACTAGCCATCTTTTCTGCCTTGTATTTTTCTTATGCATTTTAGGACCCTATTTTTCCTATGATCTCTATGGTGAAACTAATATTCTCCCTTTTTTTTTTCTTCTTCTTGTTTTTCTTATTATCTTGAGCCGAAGGTCTTTCAGAAACAGCCTCTCTACCTCTTTGGGGTAGGGGTAAGGTCTGCGTACATACTACCCTCCCCAGACCCCACTTGTGGGATTTTCCTGGGTTGTCGTTGTTGTTGTTGTTATTTAGTGGGCATTAATGTAACAAACTTTGGCTAATTCTGAAAAATCGAGTTCTAATTGAATCTAACAAACTGCAATTTTGGTGTAGTTTTCCATTGCTTATCATTGTCGCGGAGATTATATTTAATACATTCAAACAAATAAGGAAACAAGTCACATGTAATCACAATATTGATTAGTAGGGGCAGAGCTAATGTGTCTTACTATAAGTTATTAATTTAGTATCAAAATGGTACCGATTCATGTCATTCTCCGTAATATACATAACAAAGCAGGAGGTATAGCCGCAATAACAATTTATATATATATATATATATATATATATATATATAT